GCTCAGGGCTCCCATACTTCCTCTTGCTGCCTTAATTCTTCTGCATGAATCGTGTCAGGCAATGCCTCTTCATCGATTTTCACTAAGAAAATTGAAAATTTCTTATTGCAAGAGGGAGGAACTCTGATGTTTTGGATGGTTGGTCATGGGAAATGTCACATCAATGTCTACATCAGAGTCTACCCCCACAACTCCTCACCTCACACACACACACACACACACACACACACACACACACACACACACACACACACACACACACACACACTTTCTCTCTCTTCCCTTCCTCTCCTGAATAATCAGAAAACACTTTTTCTTTCTCTAGTCCTGGTTTGACACATATTCCAACTCCTTGGCTTGTATGTCAAAAGAGCCTGTCATGAAAGTTCTTCTAAAAATTGCAGTGATCTCTCTTCAGCGAGTCCAGTGAGTGTAATTTTCTCATACACTTAGAATCAAGTGGCCCTCTCACAGAATCTAAGAACAACAACACCCAAAAAGTCTGGGGAACTAGAACAAGGAGATCAGTGAGCCAGGCCTCTCCCTCTGATTCCCAAAGCCTCCTGATCTCTTAGCTCTATTACTCTCCATGGGCCAGCTCCATGCTGCCGCCCCCAACCTGGCTCTCTGTCCCTGCTTATCAGCAATACACATGGTGAGAAAATCTAGCTCAAGTGCCTACTGTCAAATGACTACACACTATGTCTTGGCTGAATCTCTTGAGAGAGAAAGAGAGTGAACATCTGACTGATAGCCCTGGATCAGATCCAATAGGCTGTTGCCCAGAGGTGAGAGAATGAGATGAATGTGGTAACTGTGGTGAGTGTTACAGGATCTGTGGGCAAGGCAGGCAGGGGAGCTTGTCTACTAAAAGTGGCTAGTCTATTCATCCTTGTTGGTGGTTGGAGTCCCCTGTTCCCTGCCCAAGTTCTGAATCAGTTGAGAAATAATGTAAAAGTTAAAGGCAAATGAGAGCTCAAAATAAAAATACTACTAATAACGTTGATATAGGCAAATGTGGTTACATCATTCAATACTGAACCCCCATGATTAAGGAGACTAAACCACCCACTCACAGACCATGAAAGAAAACCATAGCTCCCTTTCCCACCCACCCAACTATCCAGGGAAGACCCCTTTAAATTTTACTTCATGGAGAAAGAGAACAGAATGTGTGTAACCTGGGAGAGCCTGGCTAAAGAGAAAGAATCAGAGAAGTAGTGTTGAGTATGCCGATTTATTCTTCCAAAATTTACCAGAGAAGTGACCCTTTTGCCCCAGAGGGGTCAAATCAAATATCAAATCTGAATCTGATCAAGTGTCCATATCTAACTACCAATTCACCAGCAATATGTGAGACAATGAAACACCTTTAATGATATCATAGGGGTTTATGCATACTGTGAGTCATCCCACATGACAAATGACCCAGATTCCTCAACCAATAAATTGCAAGGAAAAAAATTTAGAAGGGATATATACAGAAAGTAACCTCAAAACTGATTTTTTTTAAAACTTAAAAAAAAATTATGAGACCACCTGGAAAATTTGAGTGCTAATTGAATATTATATAATATTAAGAAAATAAGTTTTGACTGTCATGATGGTATTGTGGTTGTGTTTTCTTAAGTGTCTTTAATTCTCACACAGTTGAAGGCACTGTAGTCAAAACCTGATAGAAATGAATAATAATATTCTTGGCTACTGATCTCAGTAGATAAACTAATAAAATCAATTAAACACTTCTGGCACACAAAAGAAGTGAATTACAATTTTATGGGATGTTAACTTCAGAGTTAACATCCACACAGATGTTAACTCTGAAGGCTTTGCACCATATGTCTTTAGTTTTGTTAACCATACAATGGAGGTTATAATGCATCAATAAACAACCCATGTTACAAAAACTAGTCAAGTTTTTAGTGTCTTTATCTCTTAGAGAAATATACTAAATTACTTATAAGTCAAATTATATCATGTTGAGGATTTACTTCAAAATAAGGTAGAATAAGGGTGGGAGGAGGTTGGTGCTAAATGGAGGGTTAGAGAATACAGATAAATAAGATTGGCTTCCAGTTATTGTTAAGGTGGGTTATGAGTACATGAATCACTATGCATTACATATACTATTCTCACTTTTTTTAATTTATTGATTGATTTTAGAGAGAGAAGAAGGGAGAGAAAGAAAAAAACATTGATTTGTTGTTCCACTTATTTATGTATTCACTAGAGGCCCAGTGCACAAATTCATGCATGATTGGGGTCCAGCTGGCCCACCCCAATCGGGGTGGATCAGGACCGGGCCTGTTGGAAGGAGGAGACAGCAGGAGGTTGGCTAGCCAACCCCACCCCTGATTGGTGTGTGTGTGTGGGGGGGGGGGCGATCAGAGATGGAGCTGGCTGAGGGGAGGGGCCGCAGGTGGTTGGCCGGCCGGCTCTGCCCCTGATCAGGGTGTGGGGGGCCAATCTGGGGTGGGGCCAGGTAGAGGAAGGGGCTGCAGGAGGTTGGCCATTGGCCCCACCCCCTATTGGGTACGGCGTTCCAGTTGCTGGCTTTTTATATACATAGATTGGTTGATTCTTGTATGTGCCCTGACCAAGAATCAAACCCACAACCTTGGTATATCTGGATGACACTCTAACCAACTGAGATGCCTGGCCAGGGCATACTATTCTCTCTTCTATGTAAGTACTCTGAAGCCCAAACCTTAAGCTATGAGCCCTGGCCTCACTAAAGCCTCTTCACATGTCAGTTGGGTCTCCAAATTCTACTTCCTGTTTATTTCTTTTTTAAAAAATATATTTTTAAATGATTTTTAGAAAGAGAGGGAGAAAAGAGAAGCATCTATGTGAGATTGACACATTGGTCAGCTGCCTCCTGCACACCTCCTACTGGGGATCGTGCAACCCAGGCATGTGCCCTGACTGGGAATCCAACTGGCAACCTTTTGGTGCACAGGACAATGCCCAACCAATTGAATTACACTGGCCAGGGCTTCCTGTTTATTTCTTAAGGCTCCTGGTCCATTTAATCAGATGTTGAAGTTCTGTGGACTCCCAATAAATACCCCCTTCCCTCTCCTGGATTTAAAAGCAGTTAAAAGATAGGAGTCAAAATATTATTTTTATTATTGATAAAGTTGGTATTGGAGAAGGTGGCATATATCATTGGACAAATGAACTTTCTAATAATGAACCCCAGAAATAGAGAGAGGCTCATCATGGGTCAGAATAGAAAACTGAGGTCTCGCCGTAACTGATTTGGCTCAGTGGATAGAGCGTCGGCCTGTGGACTGAAAGGTTCCAGGTTCAATTCTGGTCAAGGGCATGTACCTTAGTTGCAGGCACATCCCCAGTAGGAGGTCCCCAGTAGGTGTGCAGGAGGCAGCTGATCGATGTTTCTCTCTCATCGATGTTTCTAACTCTCTATCCCTCTCCCTTCCTCTCTGTAAAAAATCAATAAAATATATTTTTTTTAAAAAGAAAAGAAAACTGAGGTCTCCCCCACTGAGGTAAGTCCCTTTAAAATGCCCTACAGAATACATACTTTTGTGTCAACCTGACTCCCAAAGAGAGAAATTTGTCATTAGAACAAGTTATTGACTCCTTTTCTGGGGAGAGAGGCCAAGAGTGTCACTCTAGAGAAGCTTCCTCCATGTGAAATAAACCATCGGGAGTGAGGGGAAAGCATTCTCTCCAATAGTAGCCAAGACAAATCATCCTAATCAACACTAGCACCCTTTCCCCCCTTTCTGCTGTGTCATAAGAAATGTGAAATGAGCAGTTCCCAGTGTCCAATTGAGTAGAATCATTATTACAGTCCTTTAGTACAAATGTCCCTGACTTGGATAGTATAAGAATCTTGGTGTCAGAAGGCCAACATTTTGAGAATGATTATTAAAGTGCAATTATGAGCAATGACACATCCATCTTCCAGGCTGTATGAATGGTAGGTTTTTCATCCTCCTAACCACTTCTGCCTGGTGGCTGTGTCCTGTGCAGAGCTTTCTGAACATCAGGCTTGGGTCTGCTCACCCTCTGTCAAAGATCCTGGGTGGGGTTTGAGGGAAGGTGGCATGAGCTCTCATTCATTTTAATGACTGCAGAATATTTCATTAGAAGGAACACTAAGTCACATTTTACCAATTTAACCAACCCTCTACTCGTGGTATTTTTGTTGTTACAAAAGAGCTGCAATGAATATCTCTAGGAAGGCCCCTCCTGTAGAGGAGCGTATAGTCCAATGGAAGAGAGAGATGTTATGATGCAGAGGAGCAGTATGGGTGAAGGTTTCGGGTGGGGTGTGCATCACCAGCACAGCTCTTCAGGAACTTTCCAGCAGCCCTGTGTGCCTGATCCTTAGAATGGAGTAGGGAAAGGCTGAGGGTGGCAGGAACTGAACAGCCAAGGACTTTGCATGCCACTGTGAAGTGCTTGGACTTTATTTTATCTTATACACAGTAGAGGAGTATTGGAGGATTGTAAGGAAGGATTTTCTATACGCTCCCACTGGTGGCAGTGTGGAAAATGGTCTGGAGAGGGATAAGGCTTAAGATAGGAAACCAGCCCTAACCGGTTTGGCTCAGTGGGTAGAGTGTCGGCCTTCGGACTCAAGGGTACCAGGTTCAATTCTGGTCAAGGGCATGTACCTTTGTTGCGGGCACATACCCAGTAGGAAGTGTGCAGGAGGCAGCTGATCAATGTTTCTCTCTCATTGATGTTTCCAACTCTCTATCCCTCTCCCTTCCTCTCCTTAAAAAATCAATAACATATATTTTTAAAAAAAGATAGGAAACCAGTTGGGGGACAGAACTAGCTGTGTGACCTTCAGCAAGCCACACAGCCTATGGTTTCTGAAAGGGCAAGGGCTATGCCCTCCATCTTGCCCCAGGGTAAGTGCTCCATCTTACCTTGGCCATGTGCCACCTTCTTCCCGGAAGTCCAAGCTTCTGCTGGCCACGCCCGGGATTTTAAACTAACCAATGACAATCAAGGGACGTGCGCGCCATAGAGATGACCACATCCTGTGTAACAAGACCTGACTTGC